TCTCCCTAAAATGTGTATGTAAAACCTAAAACTCCCTAAAAAGGGACTAAAGTTGCCTTTATTTAGTGTTTAGACAAAATGACAAACTTGTAAATATTGGTAGTCGAAATTAGGGTTGGAAATGCGACATTTTTACATTTTACGCGATTTGCGCTATGACTCAAATGAATTGTGTCGTGGCCCAATTGCGCGTTTGTGCCGTCGTCGAGTTTGACAATGTAATTGCACCGTAACCTAATGAATTGCGTTGCGGCTCAATTTGGATTTTGTTGACTTTATGCTGCAGTGCAAAAAAGTGTGTTGCGGCTCAATTTCTATTTCGTCGTCTTCATGTCACGGCTCAGATGCGGAATTTCACTCCTTTTCCACTCGCCTTGATTTATCCGCACCCGATGGGTCCAAGATGTCCGAACACCAACACAAGCACGAATAATCCATCTTTTTGCACCTAAATACCTGAAAACACAACAAAAACCCGTGATTTTGGGAGATAAAAAAACAAATACATAAACTCATCATAAATAATGCGTCAAAACTTGAATTTCTTACAATTTTACCCTCAAATCACTAAATAAATCTGTATTTCCAACACTCAACACAACCCCCATCTTTTATGACTATAGTGTATATTAGTTTGTCAAAAGATTTTTTTTTTTTTTTTTTTTTTGTGATAAGGGGCATTCGGGTTAGTTTATACGCACCTCAACTAATCCTCCAAGGCCTTGAAATTGACAATCGGGTAAATCCCTTCAATGGCTACCGCTTTTAACAACATAGATGGATTGAACTCAGAATCTTTTTTAGTAATTAACTAATACCCAAACATCTTAATTAGATTATTTAGATTTTAGATTTAGATTAAACCCAAAATCAAATTCTATCCCATCTGACCGGCTATACCCGGTAACCATCCCAAACCCTAATGCAATCCCCAACTATCAAATGAGCCCACTGAACACCTACATGCAACCGACTGTCTCGGTGACCCCAAAACCCTAATCTCCGACACGATCACTATATAAACATTACCATTTCTCATTCCGACTCTTAGCTCGCCACTCTCGCCTCATCAATTCTGCGAACCCTAACCCTAGCGAGAGACCAGACAAACAAACCCACAATGGCTGAAGGTCTCGTACTCCGTGGAACCATGCGTGCCCATACCGATATGGTCACCGCCATCGCCACCCCCATCGACAACTCCGACATGATTGTCACCGCCTCACGTGACAAGTCCATCATCCTCTGGCACCTCACTAAGGAAGAGAAAACATATGGTGTCCCACGACGTCGTTTGACCGGACACTCTCACTTCGTTCAGGACGTTGTTCTGTCGTCTGATGGACAGTTCGCTCTCTCCGGCTCCTGGGACGGTGAGCTCCGTCTGTGGGACCTGGCTGCCGGTGTCTCCGCCCGCCGTTTCGTTGGCCACACCAAAGATGTCCTCTCTGTCGCGTTCTCCATTGACAACCGTCAGATCGTTTCAGCCTCCCGTGACCGCACGATCAAGCTGTGGAACACTCTCGGCGAATGCAAGTACACCATTCAAGACGGTGACGCTCACACCGAGTGGGTTTCATGTGTTAGGTTCAGCCCTAATACTCTGCAGCCGACGATCGTCTCTGCATCTTGGGACAAGACCGTGAAAGTATGGAACTTGAGCAACTGTAAGCTAAGGTCCACTTTGGCAGGGCACAGTGGATATGTGAATACTGTAGCGGTGTCACCTGACGGTTCGTTGTGCGCTAGTGGAGGGAAAGATGGAGTGATATTGCTGTGGGATTTGGCAGAAGGTAAGAGATTGTATTCATTGGACGCAGGGGCTGTGATTCACGCTCTGTGTTTCAGTCCAAATAGGTACTGGTTGTGTGCTGCAACTGAGCAGAGTATTAAGATCTGGGATCTTGAGAGCAAGAGCATTGTGGAGGATCTTAAAGTTGATTTGAAGACCGAGGCTGAGAAGAGTGAGGGCACCACTGCTACTACCACCATTAAAAAGAAGGTATAAATTACGTAAATTGAAATTTAATTTATTTATTGATAGTTTATATTCATCTACATGATCACTTGGTGTATATTCTTTGTTGGTGTCTATTTATTTTTGGTTTTGTGTGAATGACTGTAGTTTAATTCGGTTGGGTAGTGTGTTTGTATAGGCGGTTTTCTATGATTTATTTTGAAGATGGTTGTGATTTGTTACTTGTATGTTGGTGGGTGTGGATGATCTTGTGAGAGTTATCGGCCCTGAACCATGGATTGTGTTATACATTACGCCTCTTTTGTGATTTTTTGGCAAGGAGTGTGGTTTTGTTTCTCTGTTACGGCTGAGTTGATTCATTTGTGATCGTTTAGTTGGTCAACCTGAGTTGTTTATTGCGTGATAGAAAGAAACTAAGTATTTTTTAGTTAATTGTTTCGATGGAAATGATTCATGCTGTTGATAATATGTTTTTACTTCTGTACAATGGGTTATCGAGGGCATCTTTGTTCAACATGATTGTGTTGTTATAGTTTTGCCAATTATTCATTAGGAGCTTGAGTTTTTGTAATGATTTGAATATTGGTTTTACTGTTTGATGTGATAGCATTTGTTAATTTGCATTTTATTATGCAGAACATCTACTGCACAAGCTTGAACTGGAGTGCCGACGGAAGCACCTTGTTTAGTGGATATACAGATGGTGTGATCAGAGTGTGGGGAATTGGGCGTTACTAGGAAGAAGACTGAGAGTGATTGCCATAATGCTGTTTTCGTATTTTTGATGACAAACTAGTTGCACTACTCTGTAGGCAGTTTCGAACACCTATTTTAGATTTTGTTCAAAATGTTTCCAAGGATATTTTGGTTTTCTTTTATTTGGATGTTACATGGCTTTGAGGCCTATGCTATTTTGGTTTGTTTATTATTTAGATATTACATTTGTTTTCTCAACTATCAAATTATAGTTTTGAACACAATCATAGTTTCAACCTTGCATTATTACCCAAAACTAAGTTATGGGTATGATATGATCTTTAGTCTTTACATCATCTTACATTTTTTGAGATGTCGATCAAGTTGGAAAAAATTTCTCAAGAAGAAAATTGCTCAAAATTTGTTGGTTAGATTTGTTGCATTCCTATATGATTGTCAATCAAGAAAGGTGCTCACTTAAAACGATTCTATGGATTCTTATGTTATATTTATTCATTATCTGTGTTGCACCTTACCGTTTCTATCGTTCGCAGATTTTTATCAGTTTGTACTAGATATGTAATAATATAAATCGTAGTGATGAAACCATTGTCAGGCATCAATGTGATGGTGATGAACTTGGAGTCATTGGTGAATACAATCTTATAATGTTCCTCCTCATTACTTATTTACACATCATCATCGTTCACCAACAGGTTCTACTGGGTTCCGCTGGCTTTACTGGTGGGTTCCTCGCCTGACTTGAGCCTGCCAGAAAACCTCCCCAAGTCATGTTGATACTTTCGACTTTCTTTACCTTCTGCCTTTTCTGGAACTGTCTTCTCTGTGACGTACTCAGGCAACTCTCCTTCCTGTATGAGCTCCTCAATTCTAAGTTTTCTCTACATACTCCTCTCCTTGTATGAGCTCCTCAAGATCAAAGTAATATGACGTTTCGTGCCCAACTCTGGTGAGAATGGCACACATCTTGTGATAATTACAATACTTATAACGGTTCCTCAAGGTCAAGGCAGGATACTTTTTAAGGGGCCGGTCTTTGAACAAGGTTTTAAGCTTCTTCTTCAGGTAAACTTTGATAGGATCATCTGGAGGGCGCAACTGAGGAAGGAAGTACTTAGTTTCCAGCCACCAACCTGAGTAGTTGCAATCACCCCTCCCATAATAGGAGTCATCCCGGTGAGCAAGACTTTTGTCTTGGAAATGCTTTCACGCTTTTTTTTGTCCTACCCATTACATCATTGTAATAAGGAGGTGGTTGTATCTTCTCAGGCATTTTGGCTACAATGGGTGGCCCTAGATACCTCGTCTTGAACCTTTCTTCTACGTGAACATGACTCGAGCAAGATTTATACAAATGATCACAGGCTTGGGGAGTGAAGACAGACAGTTTGCCAAGCCACTTCTTGGTCTCCCCTATGACCAACCCTCGATGGACGATCTTCTCATTGTATTTGTCCGCTTGATTGACCTCACGATGATTCCTATCTACAAAGTTCATGGGGTTTCCCTAGACCTTGTTTTGTAGTCTGGTTGCCTCCTTACCTGGAGGGATTTAAAATTTACAGTGAAGGCTTTTGCCAAGTCATCAAAGTTTATTTATTTAGAAGGGGTAAAGTTCTGTACCCGTCTTTGACAGTTTGCGTTAAGTGTGATGAAAAATGCCTTGCACATGATCGCCTTTGTAGCCTTTTGAACCTCCATGAGTGTTTAATAGTGGTCGATGTGCTCCATTGGGAAGTTACAAGGATAGGTTTCTGCTACAATCCACTCGGTGAAGGGGCTGGCACTGACTATCCTGGCCCCTTTTCTTTGCTGCACCACCTGCAAAACCACTTTGATAATTTTTCATCAGTGAAGGTCCCTGTGCTGGTTCACGATGACAACCAATTGCAGAATCACTTGTAAAATTCTTGAATATATCAATGAGTTGTGTAAGGAAAAGTACTGTTTACTGCCTGAAGATCTATGTGAGAGAGCCATGGCCCGCTTCTAGAATAAATTTGCTGATGAGAAGGTACATGAAAAATTAAAAAATTTTGTGCATGTTTTCAGTTCTCTTATTATTATTTTTGCTCTACAAGAACTATACGATTTCCCATCTCATTATAATTCTGTTTTTTGTTAGATAGATGAGCCTGATTTCTTAGAACCATAGGATATTTGAATCTAGAGAGCATTGGGTTGGATCCCTCACTGGCTCAATGTAAAAGATTTTTTTGAAATACTATCCTGTATATAAGAAGGTCTCTGTGCTGGTTCACGGTGAGAAACCAATTGCTGAATCACATGTAAAATTCTTGCATATATGGATGAGTTGTGGAAGGAAAAGTACTTTTTAGTGCCTGAAGATCTATGTGAAAGAGCCATGGCTCGCTTCTGGGATAGATTTGCTGATGAGAAGGTACATGAAAAACCACTTTCAAATAATGTTGCCAGCAAATATTAGAAATCAAAAAGACTTTGGCTTTGTGGCTCATGCTAAGCACTGTATGAATACAACTTTAATAAACTCAACTTAAAGCTTTCGGCTGTAAATACTCTTATATCCATTACCACATCTTATTACAATTCATCTTCCTTAGTCTTAGAGTTTAATCCTTGAATTTGTGGTTAATTAAAGCACATCTTATGTTTCCTGTAATGTTAAATTATTGTAATACAGGCAGTGTCACCAATATAACAATGAAGGTCAACTTCCAGCAAAATGTAAACAAACCCAAGTTGCCATTTGCCATAAGAGTAGTTTCAATTTGTCAAAAGTGTAGGTTTTAGAGTCTGGTTATGCTAAGAGAAAGAAGGTTAACATGCATGAAAGAGAGAGTTGAAAAAAGAGAAAGACTTCAGCTTGTATCTGCTCTGTTTTCGTTCATTGAACAGGGGAATATAAACACAAAATTCTTCACTGTTACAACCACTCTTGCAGTGAGAACTTTTTGCAAATACAAGGCATTCTAAATAACCCTAACTAATACTAATTTACAGTGACATATAATGGCCTTAATCACCGGCTGTCACATAATACTTTCAAAAAAACCAACCAAATACAGCATTGAAAGACAGCCTTTAACATACTCAAACTTGGCGCCAGAATACAAACTTGAACAGCAAACCAGTTTCCAGCAAAATATCACATACTTTAACAAAAAGATATCCACACTCCATATACAATATTAGTCAACTGGTTTCCTGCATTTCAAATAACAACTACATGCCGTTTCGTTGGTGTGTACATTGTACAGTGAGTTCTACACTTGGGTATATATTAAACTTGAGGCTAAAGTTCTGATAAACTGCAATTGGTATAAAGGAAAATTAGAAGAAAACTTGTAGAGCACAATGTGAATTGTATTGTATTCAAGGTAAATGGTGTTAGTTAAACAACATTCCAGAACTGGTTACAGAGCTGGGGAAGAGTCTTCCCTTGAATACAGCTGTGGAAAAGTAAGTCATAAATGCCCATGGCCAATGGCGCGATTCATCAAATGGATTGAGTTTCAAAAATTAATATTAACAGACCTTGGAAACTGGGATGACAAAGCAAGAGTAGGGAAGCAAAATAAACCTTCATTCTCTGCATATGATGTGATATTATTAAAGCAAAAACTGTGTGAGAATAGGATTCGGATGAGGTTTGTTGAAGAATAAAGTTTCACAACCTTTGTTCTTATACTTTCGGTGGTGGGAATTTTTTTTTTTTTTACATCAATATCTAAGCTGTAGCCACTCAGATACAAAAGCCTGTGATTCTTGCTACCAAGTTGAGCTAGAAAGAAAATTCCAATTGGTCCCATACGAATCTGAGCTCAACTTGTGTCAAGTTATTATCAATCTCGGTGCACGTGTTATGGTGTTAATATTTGGTTATAATTATAATTATAATTATAGTGTTAATAAATTTTGTGGCAATGCATGGATGATAAGGCCCTAACTACATGCTTTAAACATGAAAAGAGGAAGCATTGATTAGAGATGCTGCTGCTTTCACGCCAATCTACACAATCATCTTCAGCTAGCTTATTTTCGCGCTCTGTTTCTTCTGAGAGAAAATGGCAGAATCAATTCTATGTGACATTGCGACTGAAGTTCTGAAGAAGATAGGCTCTCTTGTGGTTCGGCAAGTGTCCTTGTTGTGGATTGTTGAAAGTGATTTAAAAAGCCTTGGGGAACCCTGAGCGCTGTCCAAGCCGTGCTCTTGGATGCTGAGCTTGATGCTGAGGACGTTTTAGAAGAATTCGAGCTTCAAGCTTGCGGGAGGGAAGTGGTGAGACAAAAGAGGAGCACATTAACAAAGGTATGTCAATGCTTTTCAAGCTCTAATCCTGTTGTTTATCGATCTGAAATTAGTCATAAAATCGAGGAGATTAGAAAAAGGCTAGATCAGATCGCAGGTGATAGGAGTAAATTTATTCTTAGTGAGAGTACTGCTGAAGATGGGCATGTAATTCCAAAGGAGAGGGAGATTGATCCCTTCTTGGGAGCTCCTTATGTTATTGGAAGAGAGGATGATAAAGAGGGGTATAAGCATTTTAACGCAACCAACCAAAGGAGAGGGAGTCTCTGTCATTCCAATAGTTGGAATTGGGTAAAAGCACTCTTACTCAAATGGTTTACAATGATAAAAAACGTAAATGATTTCTTTCTATTAAAGATATGGATATACGTGTCAGATGAATTCGATGTCACAAGATTAATGAAAGAAATTATTAAATTTGCAACAAATGATTGTAGTAAGTTAGAAAGAGGTGAAATTCGCAAGCGTTTGCAGGAAATTTTGACAGATAAAAAGTTTTTGTTTGTCATGGATGATGTCTGGAATGAGAAGCCCCAGAAATGGATGGATCTGAGAAAATTATTGCTAAATGGTGTCAATGGAAGTAAAATTATTGTGAGCACACGAAGTAATAGAGTTGTAGAAATAATGAGCACTAGTCACTCCCATTTTCTACAAGGTCTTTCCACTAAGGAATCATTGTTATTATTTAAGAAGTATGTGTTCAAAGATGGAAAAGGGAAAGATTTTCCAAGGCTCACTGAAATTGGGAAGGAAATTGTGAGAAAATGTAAAGGAGTCCCGTTGGCTATGAGATCTTTAGGGAGCTTATTTTATGCAAATACAAACGAATGTGAGTGGTTGAAAATAAGAGAAAATGACATCTGGCAAGTAGATCAAGATAATGAAGACAACTTACCAGTATTGAAATTGAGCTATGATCATTTGCCTCCTCTCTTGAAGTGATGTTTTACTTATCTTTGCTTGTTTCCAAAGGATTATACTTATGGCAGTGAGTGCGTGACCAATTATTGATGGTGCTTGGACTTCTTAAAACCTCTAAGACAATTGAAGAGGTAGAAGATGTTGCCATTCGATATATGAAAGTTTTATGGTCAAGGGGTTTCTTAGAGGATTTCAGGGATATTTATTTTCATTGGGAATTTAAAGTGCATGATCTTGCAACATCAATGGCAAAAGATGAGTCTGCATTCACAAATTTCGGAAGCCAAAATGTTGATGGGAAATTCCAGCATTTTTCACATGGTGACACAGAGTTATGTGGTCAAGAATTTCTAAAACTTATGGTTGACAACTCAAGGAGTGTTTGAAGCATTGTCTTTCCAGCAGCAAAGAAATATGGAGATGAATCTATTGTTGGGTCATTTATTGGAAAAGATATATCCAAATTCAAATACCTCCAACTTCTACACTTGTGTGATATACTTTTTGAAGTGTTGCCAGATTCTATCGGTACATTGAGACATTTGAGGTACATTGATCTTGCTCGGAATTATTCATTGAAGAAGCTTCCTGAATCTATTTGCGAGCTTTAGAACTTGCAAATGTTAAGAATTGGTGGTTGTTCTAGGCTTAAGAAGTTGCCTAATAACATGCGAAAGATGATTTGCCTTAGGCACTTGGAAATAACCACACAAGAGGAGGTTCTTCCGGAAAATGGAATTGGATGTTTGAGTTCCCTTCAATATTTGTGCTTTTTTGCATGCTCCAATCTAGTAAGTTTGTGTGAAGGGATGCATGGTCTTAAAAGTCTCCGAATGTTGCATCTACGAAACACTTCTGTGAGATCATTACCAGATACCATCAAATACCTAACAAAATTAGAGATCTTATTGATTTCGTATTCCTCCAAGATTAATTTGAAGATGGATTTGCAAGCAGAAGATCGTGGGCTGAGGCTGAGTCTTAAAACATTCATTATTTATTATTTAGAATCACTGGTGGATTTGCCCCAACTTCTTCTTCAAACATTTGCTAACACTCTAAAGACCATGCAGATTGGATACTGTAAAAACTTAGAAGCATTGCCGGAGTGGTTCCAATATCTCACATCACTTGAGACACTTGATATTACAAATTGCTCCAGATTGTTATCTCTTCCACAAGGGATGGAACGCCTTACTTCCCTCAAGCTATTGAAGATTGAAAACTGTCCTCCTCTAGTTGAAAGCTGCAGAAACGATGAGTCAAAGATTGCTCATATTCCATAGGTTCTGTTGATCAAATGATATTATGCTGGAAGGTCATGAAGTTGGTCAATATTTTGAAGTACTGGAGCTGCATGTTCTGGCGGCAAAAATCTGGTGTTTTGTTGCTGTTAGCTTCTACCGTAATGCACCAGCATTTCTTTGATTTTTATAATGTATATCTTAGGTAAATTCAGCTAAAAATCTGCTGCTGATTTGGTGTTAATGTAATGTGATGTGTTTGTAGTAGTTAGTAAAGTATGGCTGTTTAATTTTGATTGTAAGTCTGCTGCAGAGTAAGTGTAACTGCAGTGCAAACCATGTTTTATATTCAGTTTTTTGTTCAATGAAATAGCATTCCCGTTTGTAACTTTTTTTTTTCAGTGTGTGTGCCATCACAACAGCAGTTTTTCCTTAGAATTCTCCAGCTCCAAAACCTTCATTTGGTATCAGAGCCTCTGTGAGTTTTTTTTCAGACTAGAACCTCAACTCTTCAAACATAGCTCAACTCCCTTAAGATCTCCTCCATGGCAACAAATCCAACACCTCTTTCTCCACCTATCTTCAATGGTGACCAGTACCATGTTTGGGCTGTCAAAATGAAGACCTATTTGAGAGGCCATTCCTTATGGCAATATGTGGAGGAAGAGAGACAAATCCCTCAACTTGGAGTAAACCCAACACTGAATCAGATTAGGATTCATGAAGAGGAGGTTGCAAAGACTCCAAGAGCACTCTCTTGTATTCATTCTGCAGTAACTGACCAGGTCTTCTCCAGGATAATGGCTTGTGATACTCCTAAAGAAGCTTGGGACAAGCTCAAGGAGGAGTTTGGGGGAAGTACCCAAATCAGAAACATGCAGATCCTTAACTTGAGGAGAGAGTTTGAAGTGCTCAAAATGCAAGAAACTGAAAATGTCAAGGAGTATGTGGATAGATTGATGAATGTTGTAAACAAGATTAAGCTACTTGGTGAGGAGTTGACTGATCAGCGGATTGTGGAGAAGGTTTTGGTTAGTTTACCNAGGTCAATCAACATGGAGACGGATCAAAGAAAAAACACTTGCATCAAATGTTTTGTTATTAATTAGTATGTATTTTGACATTTAATATGTAAATATAACATCATGTTTGGATTTAGAATTTGAATTGTTGTTAAATACTTAAATTATGTCAGGATTGTTGTTGAATTTGAACTTTGAATCATATTGGATTAGACAGTAATTAAGTTGTTATTGTCTTATTAAAAAATAGAAATTAAAAAAAAACATTTTTTTTTAAAATGTGCTGATGACATCACTGGTCCAACCAACAGAATATAAAGCATGGTTTGCACTGCAGTTACACCTACTCTGCAGCATTGTTTTAAAAACCGGACCGGTGGGCAACCCGCTCTGATGGTCGGGTCACGGTTCAACCGGTCCAACTTATATTCTGTTTTTTTTTATTCAATGAAATACAATTCCCGTATGCAACTTTTTTTAGTGTGTGTGCCAACATAACAGCTACACTTTTACTTAGAATTCTCCAGCTCTAAAACCATCATTTGGTATCAGAGCCACCGTAATCCTCCAGACCAAAAAGCCTTAACTCCTTTAAGATCTCCTTCATGGCAACAAATCCAGCACCTCTTTCTCCGCCTATCTTCAATGGTGAGCAGTATCATGTTTGGGCTGTCAAAATGAAGACCTATTTGAGAGGCCATTCCTTATGGCAATATGTGGAGGAAGAAAGACAAATCCCTCAACTTAGAGCAAACCCAACACTAAATCAAATTAGGATACATGAAGAGGAGGTTGCAAAGGCTCCAAGAGCACTCTCCTGCATCCATTCTGCAGTAACTCTTCAAGTCTTCTCTAGGATAATGGCATGTGATACTCCTAAAGAAGCCTGGGACAAGCTCAAGGAGGAGTTTAGGGGAAGTACCCAAACTAGAAACATGCAGATCCTAAACTTGAGGAGAGAGTTTGAAGTGCTCAAAATGCAAGAAACTGAAAATGTCAAGGAGTATGTGGATAGATTAATGAAGGTTGTAAACAAGATTAAGTTACTTGGTGAGGAGTTGACTGATTAGCATATTGTGGAGAAGGTTTTGGTTAGTTTACTCGAAAGGTTTGAAGCAAAAATCTCCTCACTTGAAGACTCAAAAGACCTGTCCCAAATCAGCCTAGCAGAACTTGTGCATTCCCTTCAAGCACAAGAACAGAGGAGGCTGCTGAGGTAGGAAGATTTGGGTGAAGGAGCTATGTTTGCAAGTAAAAAAAAGAAGGGATTTCAAGGGGAAAGTAGGAGGTACGCTAGAGAGAAGAAGGGGAAAGAAAAGCTGAGTAATCAAGGAGGAAAGAATATGGGTGCAGCAAGAACTTTTGCTCCTTGTCCTCACTGTAGAAAAAAGAACCACTCTGAAAATAGATGTCGGTTCAGGCCTAGCATTCAATGCAAGTCTTGTAAACAATTTGGGCATACTGAAAGAGTGTGTAAGAACAAAGGGAATAAGCAGGAACAGCAAGCTCAAGCTGTGGAAAGTTCCCAGCGCTCCCAGCAGACAGAAGAGAGTTCAGAGTAGCTTTTTGTGGTCTCTGAATGCATGGTTGCAAGCAGCCTTGACGTGTGGTTGATTGACAGCGGCTGCACCAACCATATGACCCCAAATGCCAACAATTTCGTGAGCCTAGATGAGGGTTACCAATCCAAGGTAAAGGTGGGAAATGGTGAACTGCTAGAGGTGAAAGGCAAAGGTGATGTTGCTGTCCAAACCAAAACAGGTACTAAACTCATAGTTGATGTTTTGTTTGTGCCTAAAATCAGTTTGAGCCTACTTAGTGTAGGACAAATGTTAGAGAAAAATTATTCTTTGCATTTCAAGGACCTCACTTGTGTTATTTTAGAGAATGATGGGACAGAATTAATGAAGGTTAGAATGTAGGGAAAAAGTTTTCCTATAGAATGAGGAAAGCTTGTTTTTCAAAACCACTCAGCTAGGATAGATGATTCAGAGTTGTGGCATAGGAGATTTGGACACTTTCATTATCATGCCCTCAAGGAACTCAAACACAAAAACCTAGTCCATAACCTACCCGAAATAGACCAAGGTGAAGGATTGTGCAAAACCTGCCAAATTGGCAAACTTAGTAGGCCTCCATTCCCTGCAAATAAAGCTTGGAGAGCAAGTGAAAAGCTCCAGCTTGTGGACACTGATGTGTGTGGTCCAATGCAACAAACTTCTCTAAGTGGAAGTGGATATTTCATCATTTTCATAGATGATTTTTCTAGGATGACATGGGTGCATTTCTTGAACCAAAAGTGTGAGGTAACTGCTACATTCAAAAGGTTCAAGCTGTTGGTTGAAAACCAAACAGGTTTGATACTCAAAACTTTAAGAAGTGATAATGGTGGAGAGTATACATCCAATGAGTTTGAAGAAGCATGTAAAGGGGCTAGAATTTGGCATCAGTTCAGCAGTCCATACACTCCACAACAAAATGGAGTGAGTGAGAGAAAGAATAGGACAGTGATGGAAATGGCTAGGTGCATGATGATTGAGAAAAATTTGCCAAAAATTTTATGGGCAGAAGCTGTCAACACTTGGATCTATCTACTTAATCGGTTACCCACCAAAGCACTTGACAACAAGACTCCCTTTGAAGCCTGGTATGGTGTCAAGCCAAATGTGGATCATTTGAAAGTATTTGGAAGTGTGTGCTATGTGTTTGTTCCAGTAAACAAAAGGACTAAGTTAGATGAGAAGGCTGAAATAGGCATCATGATTGGATATAGTGGCCAGTCTAAAGCCTACTGAATTTACAATCCAAGCTCTAAAAGAATTGTGATTAGTAGGGATGTCAAGGTTGATGAAGGAGCTACTTGGAATTGGGAAAAAAGGCAAGTTGAGAGAAGGATCAGCAGCCAACATGACACAGATCCAGAAATTCATAATGCTGAATTGAATCCTGAAGAAGTGGATGAAATGCCAGTCCGAGGCACCAGGTCTTTGCATGACATATATGAGAGGTGTAATGTGGCTGAATTAGAGCCTACATGCTATGCTGAAGCTGCAAAATCTGAAGCCTGGAAGGCTGCAATGCAGGAGGAGATGAATGTGATTGAGAAAAATCAAACTTGGGAGCTAGTTGATAGACCACTTGACAGAAAAGTAATACAAGTTAAGTGGATATTTAAAAGAAAATTGAATCTTGATGGATCAGTGAACAAACTTAAGGCAAAGCTTGTTGTTAAAGGCTTTACACAACAATTTGGAATTGATTTTTCATAAACCTTTGCACCTGTGGCAAGACATGACACCATTCGGCTTCTCATGGCAGTGACAGCTCAATTCAATTGGAAAATCTTCCAACTTGATGTAAAGTCTGCATTTTTAAATGGATTACTTGATGAGGAAATCTACATTAAGCAACCGGAGGGGTATGAAGTCAAGGGAAAGGAGGAGAAGGTCTATCTACTCAAGAAGGCCTTGTATGGTCTCAAACAGGCCCCTGGAGCTTGGTATAGCAGAATTAATGATTATTTGTGCAAGCTAGGATATGCTAGAAGTCCAAATGAGCACACCCTTTATGTAAGGGAACAAAGAGGAGAAGTGATGATAGTCTCTCTTTATGTTGATGACCTTTTAGTGACTGGAAGCAATCTTGATCAGTTGGAAGAGTTCAAAAGAGCAATGAAGATGGAATTTGATATGACTGATTTGGGTGAAATGAGCTACTTTCTTGGCATGGAAATATACCAAAGCTTAAAGGGTATATTTGTGTGTCAAAAGAAGTATGCAAATGAAGTGCTAATGAAGTTCAATATGGACAATTGTAAATTAGTTGATATTCCATTGATTCCTAGCCAAAAGCTGAGCAAGGAAGATGGTGCCAAGAGGGTGGATGAAGGAGTCTATAGAAGCTTGATAGGATGCTTGCTGTACTTGACAGCAACCAGGCCTGATTTGATGTACACCACCAGCCTCTTGTCCAGATTCATGAGCAAGCCAAGTGAGATGCATTACAAGGTTGCAAAGAGGG